TGCGATATACGGTAGTGGTAGTAGTATCAGTACCGGTGGTAGCATAAAGAAGGTAGTCGATTGTACGCGAGAATAACTGTTCCGTGACCAATCCATTGGTTTCGTGAACGCGAACAATCCGAGTTTTCTTGCATGTGTAATCGACCTGCCACTTTGCTTTGCACATAAATTAGGAGATAGGAGAATGGACACATGGCGGTGATGAAAAAAAAAAAAAAATTCAAAAATAAATATTATACGATCCACGGTATAGGATGGCTGGCGCGACGAATTTTCGGTATATATAACTTTACTTAGCTCGTTCGTGTACCATCCGTCTTCTGCACTAAGAAGCATGCCACACGTCCCAATGCAGTTTAATCGTTTCACGTCCGTTATACAGCAAACAGTATTGTTATAATATTGTTTTTGTGATCGATTGGAAAACAATGTTTGTTTCCCGAGGTACACATTACGCGAGTGTCGCACTAGTTCAATTGTCATAACATAATATTATACTAATATCGTTTCAGTTCAATGTCAGGACTTCGTAGGTATATCATAGCTGATAATCAGTCATTCTCCTTCGTCCCGAAACGTAATCGATTTAAAATAATTTGTATATTTTATCGGTCACTCATCGAAAGTATTTTGCCACTCACAGCAACTGGGGACAGTCGTATGGTTTGACTATAGTTTAAAATCAATCTCCCGAGAAATAATATGATATAATAATAATAATATTACCTTTGTGTCGGTCGGTAGGTCATAACTTAAAAAAGTCCGATTTCAAGTAAAATAATATTTACTTTTGAGTTTGGTCGTAATTATCATAATGTTGTATAATATCTATATAAGTGCAGGAGTTTATAAAAGCACTTTCGGTTGTCATCCGCTCTGCATAAGCCACCATCACATAATAACATCGATAATTTCGCTTTGACGGCCTAATATTGATTTCTCGGTTAGACCGTGACGAACATCTTATACATATATTCATATATATATATATATATAATTATAGCACAGAGCATTGAATCAAACGTTTTCGCCGCATTCGAGACGATGTCATTGGCTACTTGGGCCAAATTATGTTAGACATTATATTGATTGACGTTGCGTGTATAATATTATATGGACATAATTTATGCACGCATATTAATTATTATTGTTTTCGTACGAAAGTTTTTTTAGAGTTTGTAAACAGTGTTAATTTATTTTTCTATTTTTTTATACCACTAGTACGATGTCTCTATATTTTGCCMTTRTAATCATTTCTAACAAAGATATGGGAACAAACAGAAAATTTGAACGGACTTTGACTCTCTTAAGTATTTTTATAAAATTATGCGAACTGGTAAGCTGCTTCAGTTTGAAGCCGATTCTGTACTTAACAAATTGCAAGTGGAGAACTTAAGCCCAGTATATACATAAATAATATATATATATATATATATATATATATGATATAAAATTCTTTGTGTAAGAATGCTGTGCGGAGGTAGGTATGCGCACTCGAAAGTCTTGTCTTGTAAATTATAAAACCTGCGTTTTMTTTGCAAATATAAAATGTTGTTTTCTATAATCTATAGTGGTCTTTGTCGTAGGGAATTTAATTGGCCTTTTAAAGAAATTTTCATCGTCATTATAATCTAATTTAAAACCTTTCAAAAGTCTGGTAAACGAAAATACATTCAGACCRACTCTCATAACGCTATACTACGTAGTTTGCACAGTTTTCACTGGTAATGTCATTTTTGCTGGGTGGCTGGTAAACATCCGAGCCATCACTTGTTTCTTTCACGTCAAATATTAAGTTTCAGCYATTTTTGTTTTTATTTGAAAATTCAAAACGTTTACTGTTCGACGTCATACAAGTACCCTAATGGTCATGGTGCAGAAAATTAACTTTGCTATGAAAAACGAAAATGCACGAATACAGCAAACAAAAACTGTTGATTCTAGCACTTTTCATTATATACATTGGTATATTTATTATTTTCAGCTATTATKTGAAAGCAAAAATGTTGATATATTTTGACTTTTAGATTTTCTGAACAACACTAAGGCTCTTTTGGTGCTATATAGTTGTCTATGGAGTATGGATTATCTCTCCCTCGAGTATTCAGYCGACGATGCATTAATATTTGTAAATCGTCGGTATACACAAATACAGCCATATAAATATWTCAAGACATTATAGCTATAGGAACGATAAATTTGTGTCAAACGATGATTATTATAAAGTAGTGTTGTTATGAACATCTCGAAATTTCAACTACAATAAGTACATTGTAAATAATGATTTGTACGACGATTTTTGATTTTAAGTAAATGMTCGGCTGATGTGAAGTTGTGAACGTTCTGATTTGATTACAGTTGTTTCCATAAAAAAAATTTAGGCTATAGAACTTATAAAACTGTATTTCTAAGTGCGACATAATATTATATTTAAAAATAGTATGTGCGTGCATAAAAACCATATAATTTTTGATAACATAGAACTTTAAATTACATACATAAATACATGCTTATTATATTTTGTTTTTACAGACCGTCGACGATCTATTTTATAGAACTATTACCTAAAACATTGTATAATTAAAATTAATTCCTTTTTGTTTAGTTTTACGAAGTCATATGGCCCGGCGCGGCGTATTGTGTAGGCAAATCTGATACTCTGGTGATTTTTTTTTAACYATTTTCAACATAATTTTGTCTATTGTAATGATGATTGGTAAAATATTTAATATTGGTTTCCATTCAACTGGTTTTGATGTATGTATTGTGTATATTATTATTACGCAATTTGAAAGAATAGATTAATACAAAACAAAAATTGCATACTATAACGAAATAACGTCTTACCTATTATTATGTTATAAACAGGGGTGTTCAATTCTCTGTAAAGCGAGAAATGTAGTATAATGAAGCTTTAGTGCGATGATTTTTTTTATCTTATCGTATATTGGAAGTCTGATAAAAATATACGAAAACAATTTGGTTGCATTTGTCATAAAATCAATACATAATATTATTATGTAATTCAAATATKTCACTTCTCAATACGTAGGTGTTTACAATATTTTACATTTTGACACTTTTAAGATTAATCTAAATCATTTTCTATAAAAAAAATTGAACTGTCGTCTAGTTTTTACAAGTTATTGTACATATGGGTATTTATACGAAAAGAAATATAGAACATTTAAATGTTGAGGATTAAATATTTTAAAGTTTAAACTTTGATATTTCTTGTACATCACAGACTTTTTAGAGACATAAGTGATTGATATAATTCATGGGTTCTATTGTCTTTATGATTGAAATGTATTTAAATTAAAAGGCAAGTAGGTATAATACATGAGATATTGTATATACAATTTATAATTTTTTGTAGTAAATAAGTAAATGTTATTTCTGTTATTTCTAATATTTTTATTTTTATTGAAAATTAGTCAATATCCTCTAAAGACAAATAAAACATTTTTTTTAGCTCAGTACTTGGGTCTTGTTTGTGATTTGTGTTATTTCATCTATAACGTAAAATACATTCATATACCCATATATCTTCCAACTATTACATGACAGTACTTAATACAAAATGTGTATTTATAATCTGTTTTAAGCTTTAAAAATAAGAATTAATTAAATAAGTATTTATAATATGCTAAGTACCTATTATACAGTTAACGTGCACCAGTATATGATTTTGTTGTATTTCAAGCATTCAAACATTAATATTTATTATAGTATACTACGAGGCAATTAATTCAGAAATTATTTATTTGTTTGACATTTTAATATTTTTAAATTCAAGTTATAATAATTATGTTTATTTAACCGTTGATGACACTTTACTTCATACATAACTGTTTTTAATTCAAGATAAATATGTTTGAATATGTATTTAATAAATTAATCGTATTTATAAAATTGTATAATTAACAGCGACGTTCGAATATAATATTGTTTAATGAAATCATCCACTTAAAGTACTAAGGGCCTTTTTCTTGAAATATATAAAGGTAGAATTAATATTTAAACATAATGAAAATGATAAAATAATTTTACTCCAACTTAATGTAAGTACCTGTAATCTATGCTTATGTATGTAACTTTATTAAAAACAATAATATTTTAGTATAGGACTTGGATTTTACGTATTAAATAATTAATATGAATTCTCGAGTTTGTCGACCGACCATGACATTGCTGTTATATTTATAAAACAAATTAAATAAATGTTCAYATAACAATGTACGGAAAATAAAATAATCGCTATTCAATACTGAAATTGGAGCTAAAACTTCAACAAAAGTGCGACCCTTATTCGGACAGACTTTTCTGAGTGCATATACTATATACGTTGTAATAATTATTATTATTACTGTTGTGTTGTATGTCACAACAATAACTGACATCGGAAATAAAGTTAATAATGGGACATGTTCACACACACTTACACATATTACAAACGAGGTACGTTACCAGATAACGTGTGTTTTGATTTGAACGCGCCGTTTTTACTGTTTAAATAACAGTTTTTCTCCCAACACAGAGGTAATCTTATACTTTCGTCTTGTTTTGTAAAGTATTATTTTATTCCTTTTTAATATTACTTGTGAGTTGGAGCTTTTAGAAAGTTGAAAGCCCAAAGGCCCACATTAACGACAGAACAAATAACATATGGAAGATCCGCAGCACATGGAAATCTGATATAGTTATAACAAATTATGGATCCGAGTACGAATTTTACAATATAATTTGGAGAAGAATAAGTACGAATCATCACTCGGTCTCGCGTTTGTAACCGATACCAAACTGTAAACCATATCGTAGTTGTTATGATGGTATAATATTATAGTATAATTTGGTGAGAAATTAAATTTTGAAATAGGTACCTTAGAAATAAAAATAATAATTTGTGATGTAAAAAAAGAAGGTAGATTCACTTTAGGGATTAAGTATGATGTATAGGGTTACCATGGACTTTGTTGAATTATTTTTCATTTACTAACCATTAYTGCGGAGCACCATGTAGCCATTTTGTGAATCCTTTGACTRATGTCTTCACGTACACTTAGCGTCTAAACGAGATTTTACGAAAAAAATGAAATATTAAAAATGTACAGTACTTTGTGTTGAGCTTTTTTACAACGATGACTTTTCGAAACGGTATATCGAGCGACTGGTATCAATTATTAAAAAAAATTACGATTCGCGTTTTATTCAGAAACTGTAACACGACACATCGCTCGGTGGGCAATTGAATATTACTTGGTCCACGATCCGCTTTCACAGCACTTTTTATATAATTGCTCCTTCCATTATTTCCACCACCGCGTTTTCTTGTACAACAGTGGTGGTTACCTTTTGCTACTTTTTTTTTCGTCAATAACTATGGCCTGGAAAGATGAACCTGGCCGATACGCCACATATAATTTATTAYATTGTTTTAGTGCAATACACATGCATATGTTATATTATGTATACGGTTACGGTCGTCGGCACCACTCCTCACCATGCATTTTTGGCACCTAAGCCAATACRTTATACCGGGCAAGAGGTCAATTTTCACTCTTGTTTTCATCCCGTCGCCAATTAATTGTTTATAATCGTTTTCAGTGAAATGCTAAATCTTCATTTCTGATAACGGATTGTTTTATTATTATTATTATTATTATTAAACTGTAGTCGCGAATGCAAATGCATTTTCAAATTATTATTAATAATATTAAATTAGCAAAACTGAAAAATGCTACAATTTTGATAGTTGCTTATTCTTATTTAATTATATTATTACCTGTCTCGAATCGGTCAAAAATTGGGAAGTGCTAATCGGATTCATTTGAATTCTAAACATATAATATAATATGTTGTATTATACACTTTTCTAATTATAATAGTACCTATAGTTAAATTTTTTTTTTTATAATTCAAACTTTTTTTATTACCTACCTAACTCTTAAAACAAATTATATATACGTAGATGTCAAAGATGAAAATGAATATCCTATTTTTAAATTTCATAACTGAATAATTAATTGTATTATATAATTTTTACGGTCATTGTATTTTGATACAAAATAATAGAATGTAAAGATTTTTTTTCATTATTATTGGATTCAATATTACCAATGGGTAATCCCTTTGCCAACATGCTATTGCCTGTCAAGTCATATAGTAATTAGTTATGGTTATATTGCATCATGCATATTTATAAGATTATAAAATATTTTGAATTATTTATTTCAAATGTATTTGCTTGGTTGAAATTTACGTTCCACCACTAATATTTACAATACGCAGGCACATAAATTATATTATTTAAAAATAATTTCAAAAAGTGTCAAGATATATATTAAGTAGTTCATTAAAAAATATAATAACTTATTCGGAATTGAATTGACAATAACAAATGCAATATGATTAGAAAAAACATGTTTTTTTCAATGTTCTTTACAAAATATTTCTGTTTTATAAGAGTATTATTAATAAATATATTATTTTGAAGAATATAATATATTAGTCATAAAAAAAAAAAAAATAATAAATATAAATATTTTAATTGATATGCGATATATTACAATGATTATAACTTAATATGATTAATTAATGGTGAAGAATTTTTTTCATACATCTAAACATACATTTTTGGAAAGGACAATCGTAATTATTTCAGATATTATGTTATATTGATTGAACAAAATGTTATTTTTTATTTTACAATGTAACAAGAACATAAATACATAATTTAATAATTAAAGTGGCCTATTTACAATCAGCCAGACTGTAACGAATTTTTTGAGGTTTTTCACGTACGGTAACTATTGTTCATAAAAATTGACTTATTATGCGTTTCTATTGTATGGCCTAGAGGCATTTCAATCTGGCGCCTATTTTAAACTGAAGACTGAATATACTATATAATATAATTTTCCAAAAGTATATCATAATAATAAATAAGTCTGACTTGATTAAATAACAATATTTAACGCTAACTAACTTTGATCTAGAAGATGTTTAGATGAAAAATAGTTTAATACGTATTTTAAGTAAGTATTTAATTTTTTTCAAATAAGTACTGCGTCAGAATAAATAAGATAATTTACATAAAGTGAATTTAACTCTCTTTAATTTTTGCATCTATGAGTTATATTATTAAACACCTATATTGACGTTGTTGGATTCCAGATAAGGTATTTTGGTTGAAGTGACGGCAGCTGTTTCAATTTTAACGACAGGGTTTTCAATTTTGGGAACAGGTTCTTTAATTTCGACGACAGGATTTTCAATTTTTACGATAGGGTTTTCAATTTCGGGGACAGGTTTTTCAATATTGGTGATATTTGTTTCGATTTTATTGATTGGTATTTTAGTATCAGTGACTGCAGGAGTTTCTATTTTTTTAGCTGGAATAAGGGTTTCAGCTTGTTCAGATACTGGTTTAACCAAAGAGATATCTGATACTGCAAACGGCACATTCAGATTATTTTTCTGAGCGATAAGCTTTTTATCATTACTGTATTGACCTACGCTTCTGCGTTCCTTCAACATGTAATCGGAACTATCTTCTTCTGGTTGATCGTAATTGACATTGGGGTTGACATCTTCACCGTATTGAATATCTCCTCTCAACGGTGTACGGGAAACTTCGACGTTGGAATTCACTGTTGTGGGTTCTAAGTTTTGGTCCAAATTATATTCTGGTTGTGTTTGATCTACTTGATTAATCGGTTGAATACTGGAATCRGCAGGATACACAACGATCGGTTCCATGGTTGACGTAGAGTATGCACCATCGTTGCCAGGAATTACAATTTCTGGCTGTGATTCTGGGTCGGTTGACGCAGAGATATAATAAGATATAGGATTTTGATAAATGGGATTTGTATCGTCATATGTATAATGATTCCACTGTTCATCTTGATTTGGTTTGACCGGATACACTGGTTGGGCCGAATCAATCTTGATATAATTGATCACTTTTGTTAAATCATTGTTAATTTTTTGGTTTTGGTATTCGGGTGTGTTATATGGTGTGTTTTCAAGAGTAAACTGATTTTCGTTCAATGTATCGGGGAATTTCGGACTTGGTGCGTAATAATAGTTTTGGTTATAGCAAATTTTATGAGATAGAGGTGGTGGACAGTTATTAAGCCATAGTGGATAGTAAAAGTCTGAGTAGTAGATTGGTTGTTGTTGCAAAGGCATTTGATTTTGAGTGGGAATAGTAATAATTGGTTCTTGAGATTCGATACCATATTTTACTTGTACGTCAGGCGTATTACTTTCGGGTTTTACAGTAGTGGAGTATTGTGCTGGAGGAGTATTGTGTGTGGAAGTGAATGATTGTACAGTTGTGGTATATTGGTGTGCTGTGGTAACAGGTTGTATAGTGGTGATGTGTTGTACAGTAGCGGGTTTTCCTGTAGTAATAGATGACAAAGTGGTGATTGGATTTCCGGAAGTAAATTCAACATTATTCTTGTTTTCTTCAATCATTTCTTCGATCGGTATGACTAAACGATTCTTAAATTTTAACTTCGATTTGATTATGTTGATTTTATTAATAATTTGATCTTTGATTGAAGGTTTACCAACTTTTAAATACGTTTCTGTTGGGTTTTCACTTGTGTTTTCACCCAATAACCATTGTGTGTTTAAATCTTTTTCATATTCATTTTTTTGTTCTTCTGGACTTAATTTAGGATTTTCTTCAAAATTTCCTCCGGAATTGACTTCAGCATTTCCTTCACAGTTCACATCGGAATTAATTTCTGGATTTACAGCGATGTCATCATTATGATTTCCATTTTGAATTTGTCCAACGTTTCCAACTTCTATCAAAATAGGTTTTTGATCTACTAAAAACACTTGACGGTTCCACTCAATAACTGCATCATTAATTTCGTCATCTTCGACCGATTCACATGTATATGCTGGGTATATTTTTTCTTCCAAAATTGGMTGTTCAGTAGTTGATGATAAATGTTTTGATATTAAAGACTTTAAAAACTTTAAAGGTTTTATACTTGGAGCACTCTGTGTTTCATATAAAATGAACGTTAGAAGTATTAGTAATCGCATTGAGTTCATCCTGAAATAGAAAAAACTAATTTTTAAAATCAATATCTAAAAAAAAAAAACATATTTTATATTGTTAAATTTATTTAATTAATTCATRATACAATAATACTTAGTAAATGGATAGAATTCATTTTATTTTTTAAAACATTTAGATTGTATAGACTTTTATTTTTATTGATATTAATTCTGTTTCCATAACTAAATTATTACCCAAGAGTTATACATTTTTAAATTTTTGTTTTCCATATTTATTGCATAATTTAACTTAGTTTATTATGAAGATAAATTAATATGTAAATACTAATAATATACATGCTTTATTATCTATATGCGTTATTGAATGGTTTTGGATGTTTTTAGACAAACGCTTTAATAACTCTAAATTCGCATAGGCTCATTAAACAAGGTATACAAGAAGGACTTGACAAAAGACATAACTTTTGTTTCTAATTTTTTTAACTTATAGGCAATTGAATACAGTATAATGTTCTTTTTGCTATACTTACTGAAAAAAAAATTGATATTTAATAATTTTTTTAGAGAAATAAAAATAAAACTAATATTTAAATCTTAATTTTTAATGATTTTTTTTTTCATGGTKAAAACGTTTATTTTAGTCAAGTAACTATTTTTTTAAATACTTATATTCGATAAATTAATTTGAAACTTTATAAATTTTTTCAAAATATTCTTTATGGGAATTTAATGATTTTAGTATATTTCTTTAATTATTTATCATCCATATCCTTGTCATAAATGTTGTAATATTATGTTTAACTAGTATCAATTATTTTTTTTCCAGTTCCAACCTGCAGTTATATGCATAGTAGAATATTGACATCGTGAATGTTTACTACCATATATAATAATAATAATAATTATGAAATTAACTTTGGATGTATGACGAAACTCTTAAGGGATTCATTTATATTTGTATGAGTAAATAATAACAATAAGAATAATTATTAGGAAGCCGTGCACTTAGTTTTAATAACAAGTTTGGGAATGTTTTCTTTTAGTAATAAAGAATTTTTTGTATAGTGTGCATWATATCCATAACATGTGTGAAACTGTAAAGAAGATATTATTACTATTGAAAAAAGTAAAACTCATAGATCGAAAAAGAATGTATACGATAATTCGCATAATAGAAGAAACTATGAGGAAAAATCAAAATAATCAAGTGTTGTTGACTAAAAAACTTAAGAAGTAATCATTAAATTTAGATTTATCACAGATCTAACTGTCWAATTTCCGAATATTTATTTAAAACATTATATCTTAATTTTATATGATGAATGGAAAAAAAAATGTTTTCCAACAATTACAATATAATAAAATATAATATAAGTACAATACAATATAACAAAGTTCAATATTTTGTTGGAAATAATTTTGGTATTACAATAACACTATATTATATGGATGTCTGGACTGATTTTGATGGCCATTGCATGGTTATTATGTCATTGGCTATATTTGTAAGTAGATAATTTAATAATTTGATAATTAATATTTTATTTAACTACCGAGTTCTTAGAAAATGCATATAATTCAACTATTGTCAAATCGTTTCATAATATAAAATACCTAACTTTTTTATTTGATGCAGTTTTAAGTGTTATAGACGTATGGT